TTTTACTTTTGTGGCCTCTGAAATATTTGAAAACCATTTTAAACATCTGTCTCTCCCCCAAAACTTTCTGCTTTGTAGCTTAAATTGTATCACATTCAATAGGCAATGTGCTACCAAGCTACAACAAAGACGTTGAACGGTCCCACGCGCCTAGACTGTGTAGTTAGTGGTCTCTCTCTGGGTTACTGGTTCAATGTGTGGATGTCAGTGAAAAAACGGGGTAGATTTGTAACCTGAGTAAAGGGTTTAGACTCTAAGTTTAGAATGTCGCAGCACATGCTCGTACTATTAAACTGGGCGAAAAACAAGTTCTTAAAACCTAGTTAGTGAAAAAACTGGTATATTGTTAGAGAAATAAATGCTCTACATAAGAGACAGACTTACAAACTACAAATATACTACGTAAATAATAAGTAGAGACAACCAAGAGTCTCAACAACTAGTTAAAAAGTAAGTATAGCCTACTATTCAAACACTTGTCCTACTTCAGTTCAAACCTGGAAATATATTAACAGCAATTTCAACTGAGTACACAGTCACTCATACACAGATTAGTTTCTGAGAGAGAGCGTACCTCTGTCCTGCTGACTCCCGGCTGTGTGTTCGTTCCTCATAGATCTGTCAGTATGTGCTCTATGGAGTTGGCGAAAAGTTCCTTTTAAACTGACTAAAACTAACCATCATAGTACGTAAAACTCATGTAGGGCATGGGGTGTGTGTGTGTGTGTGCGTGCGCGTGTGTGTATGTCCTTGTGGCACAAGTTTGGAGCTTTTGCTGAAGGAAGTATGTAAACTCCTCCCCTAAATGATATGCTTTTTTTCTTTCTCTCAGTTTCTCGTTTTCTCTCTCTCTTTGAGCCCGGCCCTCTCACTCCCCTGCTCTGTTGGACTCTAGGTCAGGTCAAGAAGGTCTTCAGTCAGTTTATAAGGTGTTAGATAACCTTCAAACAAACACTCTTAAATGATTGAAAATAGAATATCTTTCCATTTATATCTAATCAGATTCATGAATACAACCAAAAAATATTCAACAAAAAGAAAAGGAATAGCAAATGTTAGAGAAAAGTAATCCTTCTGGTCCGACTTGTTTTTCATAGAGCAAAACAAAATGCCTCTAGAGTCCCTATCAACTTCATTACAATCAAATACGCCTTCTTGCACACATTCCAAAGGTGCTTTCTACAACATATCCAGACAAACGTCCAGACACATAAGGTTCATAGTTAATATATTAACTAACATGAGCTAACCATGATCAATCCATGTGTCGTATTTATTAATCTTTGTTAATAAAAATAAAGCTGTTCATTGTGTGTTCATGTTAGTTCACAGTGCATTACCTAATATTAACAAGATTTTAATAAAGTATTAGTAAATGATGAAATTAAAATGAACAAAGATTAATAAATGCTGTATAAGTGCAGTTCATTATTAGTTAATGTAAACTAATGTAGTTAACTAATGTTAACTAAGGAACCGTATTGTAAAGTGTTACCAAATATCTTAACTTGTTTTCCCCTTTAAATCGTTATTATTTATTTTTCCAAGAAGTCCCTATGCTTCTCGTTTGGCTCTATATCGTCAGTAGGTCAGATAACAGACTGGGCCTTGGCTCAGCTAGTCATTTCTTGCTTTTCTCTCCTGGTTAAATATAAACCCTGGAACAGACTCCAGGTTCTAGACTGTTGTTGAGCCATTACAAAAGTCACCCTGAGAAAATATATTGTGAAGACATGTGACTGGCTGACTGGCTGTGAAAGAAGGCAGTATGTGCACTACGGTGTGGCTAATTCCTGCCACAAGTCTCAGATGGTCTTGGTAAATGGATTAAATACCACATCAACGTTAGAGAATCAAAACCCCCAAACTGGTGGAGCCAGCAGGCCATGTGCCAAAACTATGGTCACGGCATTAACATGGCACGCAAGACAAGCAGCTGATGGTTTCCACAGCATGTGTGTTCCAAAGCTTTTTGGAATGTTTCTGCATTTTGTGGTTAGCATATGCATCAAAGTGTATACTTTTTTTGTTTATTTTGTAAATTTGTACATTTAAATAGTTCACCCAAAATTATCTTATTCTTTTCAACAAACATTTAATCCACAAAGCGGATTCGCTCCTGAATCAGACTGACCGGGTTCTCATGTTCAACTCACTGACTCAGTGATTTGATTACAGTTTGGGTTTACAGATTACATTGGGCTATAGTATTATCAAAAAAAAAAAACTTAAATAACAACTTAAATATTTGCACTTTGTGAATATCATACATCACAATACAGAATATACTTCAGTAATCAGTGTACACTTTCTGTTTAAAAAAAAAGATGAGTCAGTGATTTGAACTCAGGAGCCATGAACGATTCGTCATTTTCTTTTCATCAAACAGGTTGAGCCACAATTTGGACAAAAAATGATTCACTCATCAATTAGGCTGATCAGAGTTCAGCTCACTGACTCAGATATTTGGTTGCAGTTCAGGCTAACAGCCACTTTCGGCTTGCATTATCGTTAAATAATGAATTAAAAATATTGGCAGTTTGTGTTTAGTATACAGTATGTCATCATACTTCATTCAGTGTAGTGCACATTGATGAGCATTAGTGTAAACAGAATCAGGCGAGGTATAGAAATGAAATTCAAAACTGAACTTAAATGTGAACCAATTTGAACCAGTGTAAACAGTGAGTCAGTGAGTTTAAATCAGGAACCAGTTTGTCTAATTCATAAAGTGGATTTAGTATGATTTGTGGATCAACAGGTTCATTGAAAAGAAAGTTTATGGGTCTCGAATTCAAATCACTGACACAATTTTAATTTTTGTGTGAACTATTTCTTTGGTTTTCCCTGCTAAAAAAACCCCAAAGAAATAAAAAAGAAATAAAATTAAATTAAGAACAATTTAAAGATACATATTTACGATTTTTCTGTATATTCAAATGTTTGTTTCACAAGTGAAAAAAGTAATACGGGTTTGGAACGACATTAGGATACAACTTGAATTTTTGGGGAGCTCATCCTTGAAAATACCCTTTAATACAAACTGCATTTTGTGTAGCAAAAACTAATAAAAGGCTAATAAAGCTCTGGCTAGTAAATATAGCCTACCCCAGGGCAGCTCTCAGTGGGGGCAGTTCAGGGAGGCACTGCGTTCCAGTGCCCCTTTGTACCAGTGCCCTAAGGAAGAGCTACTTCCTGTTGTTGAGGACTCTGTCGTATTTCAGTACAAGGGTAAATCCAGTATATATACCCTTACTAACAGCGGCCCACGACATCCGCTGAAAATATACATACCATATTCCTGGTACAGATTGCATTGTGCGCACACTCCAGTAAAGATATGCAGGTTGTAAAACCAAAGCTATGCAGGTTATAAAATTCTATGACAAACATCTGTGAATGAAATATACCTTTTAAATGATCCCTGATTGTGTGGCGTGAGTCAGTACATTTAATTATGCTCATTTAATCATGTCATGTGATAAATGGCACACGCCTGACAGATAACTGATATCTGGCTAGTGATTTGACCTAGGCTACATAGACTTTCAAACAGGTGATCAGAATAGGCTTAAAAGATGAAATGTGATATGTAACAACATATCTATGAAGTACTCCTTTAGATGGGAGGGGAGTGAAGAAGTGCTGATGCGATGACAGGCAGAACAATGCTGACTGCTTACACTGTCTGTCTCAGACACTAACCTTATGGCCCTGTCAAAATATCTGACTGTCAGACCGAGAGCAATGCATGGTCAGGCAAAGAGAAGAGCGAAGCAGAGAGAGCATTTGGAGTTAGATAGACAGACTGAGAGAGGAAGAAAGTGTGCGAGGCGCCTGTCACATCCCTCCATTGTGCAGTTTCCTCTTGGCACTTGTTTTTGTATACACACATGTCAGTAAAATACTCGTAACACACATTAGGTTAGGACGAACAAAAGAGAACAATCTGCAAATAAGAGACTTCCTGTTTGATCCAAACGCCTGTCTGCCTCCACATAGGTCAGGGCTTTTTTGAATACAGAATAATAATGGGGAAAAAAGAAGATTTGCCATTAAGGTGCAGAGCAGTTTTATGGGTCTATGAGTATTCTGTTGAACAAACAGAGAACTTGTGAATTATAACTTTTCTAAATAGCACTGGTGTAAAGTTAGTCATGCTTCTTATTATCTCTTTGTTGGCTACAGTATATTCAGAGTGAATATATTTTTCTTTCAGAAAGGAATGAATACTGGGTTGATTAGTGAGGTTGTGCAATAAGCGAGACATAAAGTGATGAAAGAGTGACTACTAGTGTACACCAAGAGTAAAATAAATGGCAGATTGCCAGGAAAGAGGTTTTCTTCACTGACCTTGATTTGAAATGACTTTAATAACAAATGCCAATTAAAAAAAATCAGTAAGTTAGCATGTCATCTTTATTTTATTTGTTTATTTATAAAACAATTAGTAAGTCTCCAGTAAATATTTCTCAGGGTAGTCAAGTAAGTTTTTGTATTGGCTCTAAAAAAAACACATACAAATTTTTTTTTTTTTTTTATAATTTCACCATTGCCCAGTAGAAAATATATAGTAGGCTATATAGCCTAATTGAAAACATATTGTCAATAGTAAAAAAAAAAAAAAAAACAGCCTAACATCGTGCAGTTAACAATGTTTAAATCTTTAGGCCTTCATCAGTTTGTCTTAATTAATGAGCATCACGTCAAACTAAAATTTATTATAATTTACATTTATAGCGTGGTCATATGTCTTTCTCTGGAACATAATTCGGCTCCAAACGGGCTAATTATTTTCATAGTAAGAAGCTTTTGTTAGCGGGCAGGTTCCTAAATTAATCCAATTTGTCTACTGTAGCCTATTTACATTGTGTTTTTTCTAACTCTGCATAAGAGGGCGCTATACATCCATATACAGTAAATGCCGTAATCTGTGAAAACCCACCCTGCACTTTAACTTTCCCCCTGCATGACCTCACACCTCAATTTCGCTGCAAGCGACAAAAACAGAGCGCTGCCATTACAATCAACAAATCTGTTTAGCAGAGCTGCGCGCGCTTGCATTGTGGATGGGTGTGAGGAAACACGCTGCTCTGCGCTCGCTTGCCTGACGTCACCCCGGCGCGCGCTTCCATAGATGCGAGCGCGAGAGTACAGTGACAGCGCCTCGTCCACTGTACGCAACACTGCTCAGCACTATCTCAGGCTATACTCGAGAAACGCCAGCAGATCATGGAATGTGACTAGGCAACATTCCGCTTTATTTCAGGTCGGTCGTCCGCCCTGCACTCACGGGGTGCAGTAGCTACTTTAAGCCCACCGTTCCCATTATTAACCAATTGATCACTGCCCCCCATTGGGAGCTTTACAATTTGTATGAATTATTCCTCGAGTTTTTATCCCACTCTAACGGTTCGACTCTGACTACAAGCTGAGGCTCAATAACTGGATTGTATCGGTTGAACAATAGGCGACTGCTGTTGTCTGGATATTAAAATTTACTCTTGGATTATTGTCTCAGCATCATGAGCACGAGTGGTGAGTAAATTCTTGCCATTGTTACCTTGGTCTAATTGCAAAGATTAATGATATACTACTAATGCAAAATAACCGAAGTAGATAGAAATCTAAATTTAAGGTAAAATAAATAAACTTTATCTTGACCTTGTAAAATTAGAGCAGTTTGTCTTATTCCGGTGTCTTATTCAAGCGTTTGACTTCTTGCTCCTGGCATGTCCCAAAGACATTCTCACTGAATCAAGTATTTGAAATAATGATAATAATTGTAATAATAGCCGAATATAAAAAGATAATAATAGGCTATTAATAATAATTATTTCTTTCTTTTCTCTTATAAATATAATGCTATTTTATCAATAACAACAATAATAATGATAATAATAATTGTTATTATTATTCAGAGTTACAAATGAGTCTTCTGCTCAGGATTGATGAGTAGGACTGTCATTCCTTCAAAACTGACTTTGGTCATCAAATACATTTGATGAAGTTGATATTTCAACTAGTCTGACCGTTTTGCACAAGCTGAACTGAACTGAAAAAGCTGTAGAAAATTATCCTGCCAATTTGGAGATGTGAAAGGATGTTATGAAAACTTAGACATACTCTGGTGACCAGTGGGTCCAGTTTGGTGCCAGTCAGATATGCTTGGCTGCATTCATTTAGCTCTCATCCAATCATAAAAGCATTAAATGAAATCATTATTTCTGATTACATGCTGTATAAATCTGTTAGATGAAAAGACACACACCAACAGAGAATAAAAAAACAGAGAGGTGGCCAGTGCAAGATCATGTTGGTGACCAGCTCTCCTTTGAGGCTTGTGCTTCAGTCAGCTGATGCTGCAAGAGCATGACCGCTACATCTCATAAATAATGATTCTTTTATGAGAAATGTTCAGCAGAACTTTAAAAACAGAGCTGTTTTCCTGTTTGTTTGTGCGTACTTGGCAAATGCCTTGCTGTTCTGTGATTAGAAATGGTTTGCATTCTTGCAGCAAGCCGTTAAATTGCATTCTCAGCTGATGAGCGGACGGACAAGCTTTGGCCACATGTGTCCCACTCTCTGAACTAATCCACCCCTTAGTTCAGGACACACAGCTCACAGCACCAGCTCACTCTGATAAAACAATGTCACATCAGCCAATTGAGCTTGCCTTATTCATTCTTTTAAAGCATTTTGCCTGTCAGCTGGGGATGGGGCTGCTACCAGCGTGTTACCGTATGGAGAGCAAGTGTTTTAAAATGCAGACAGATGGCAAGGGAATGAGTGCAGTGGCCGAGCTGTGTCCCATGGCAAAAAAGGGCTAGCTGGAGAGCTACCAACAACAGACATGCCTGGTCCAAGAGACCTGGAGTGTTTTGCAGAACATTCACGTAAAGCTCATGACATAGCCTAATCAAACATTTTTTACTTCGCAAATAGACATGCTCTTTTTTTTTTTGTAGAAAGTCTACTGACACCAAGTCTCAAACTTACCTGATTTAGCCACTCATGCAGACACATGGCATTTGAATGGAGCAGTAACCGTGCACAATGGCGTGTTGAACACTACATTGGGCATGATAGCCTTAAGCCAGTGAAAATGCTGAGCAATTACACAGAGGTCACTTGGTCTCTCTTCATTTGCTGCTCCCTACGTTTCTTATGGTCAACTGCCATTATCAACTGCCCTCTATTTTCTGCACCACTGAGAAAACAGACAGACAAGTGAGTAGCGGAATGCTCCCTCAATCTGTTCTCCATTCCCTGTGCTTTCTGTCTTTATTTCTCTTTGTTCTCCTGTTTGATTCTCCTGCCTTCAGTAGAGTGAATATCAAAGATTTCTGTGCCTTAAAGATTAGTAAGTGATAGATAGTGATTGTTTATTAGGAAGGGCGTAGGGAAGGATTAGAAAAGGAGAGTGGGGGTACATAAAATCCTGGCTCATGAATATTATTTAAGTGATGTAACAATCTGCCAATGAATGTGACTGTGAGTCCAGCCTAAGGTTCCTGAAGTTGTCCTACCCTGCTCCTCCTGTCAGCATTCGCGACTCAGCATCCCTCACATTAATCACACGCTAGCACACACTTTTACAGAAGTGCCTCTGTCACCACTGTCCTGTCATGCCTGCCCTGTGGAGAGCAACGAAGTGGAACCCGGCTCGCCCTTCAGTGTTCAGACCTCATAAACACCAACAGTTATCTGTAAACACAGCACCCTTTTTAGCCTTTACAGCCATCTGAAAAAATCTTTCTGTTGATAATAAAATGAGCATGAATCAATATTAGGAACAAACAAAAGCAATTTAATTAACTGTCATGATATTAGCATATAGAATAAGTTTGTGTTATCTGCTCATAAAAGAAAACATTGGATTAATTTACTGTCATTATGACAAAGCCCTCTATTAATCACAAAAATTGCTTTATAAATTATATGCAGGATTGACTTGTAAAGTTTTTAATTGGAATGTAGTGTTCCACGAAGAACCTTTTTACAGAAAAGGTTATTAATATGGGAAAAAGTCTTCTTTTAAAAAGGGTTCTTTTGAGAACTGTTCACTGAAAGGTTCTTTGGGGAACCCAAAATGATTATTTTATGACATTGTTGTAAAGTGGAGGCTACGAACTTAAAAATTGCCCAGTTATGATGGTGGCTCCACTGATAAAATTTTATGCACTATGCATCTGTCTTGATGCTACTCTTGATGCTACTCTGACGTAGACCCACTATGGCACCGTAAACACACTCTCATTCCATCTGGAGTGCAGTCCGGCTCAGTGTCAGCACCCATTTGTCATTCCTGTAGCCCAACGTTATGATTTAGCAGCACTGGGAACAAAAGAGAAACACTATCATATTAACACTTGTCAAGGTTGAATTTCCTACAGATCCTTTCTAAAGATTTAATTCTCCATGCATTTCCCCTTACATATACAGGCCAATATGTTTGATGGAGCTCATTCTATAGGACCATGCAGAAATGAAAGCCAGTAGATGGACACAGACAGAGTGGCTTTTCACTGTCAGTCCTGTACAACATCTGCAAGACACATGCTATAGAAAGTGTTTTTTTTGTTGTTGTTTTTTACAGGGAAAGAGTACTACCTATAGAGGGGTTTCACCAACGTCACGTTCTGGGCGGTAACCCGGATGCGCGGCCATTATGGAGGCACTCGGATGTAAACAACAGCATGGATTGCACTGTTCATGTACTACTGAACACATTGTTACACTAATAAACCACGGAAAAAACACGTGGTAGGTGCGAAATCATATAGAGAAGGACTTGGGAAGCAGGACAGAGCGAAACATTTTGACAAACTAAAGTTAATATGTTTTATGTGGTCACATTATGTGGTAGCTGCTAAAGATCCGAACGAGTTAGCTTCTCTAGCACGTAACATTACTGCAATTCTTCCATCTATTTATTATCCCGAAATAAGATACGTTCAGATTGTCAGTCCAAAAAAGCACATGAAATTCGTTTCAAGTTACATCCATATGTGGTTTGAAATCCTATTCAAATCACATATCAGGACATCAACTCAGTCTGAACGCTCGGATTTCGCGTGGTATGTCTTAAAATGCAAACGTAATTTATAGGAAACATGCTGAAAGTCACTGCCGAAACAATGCTGTGTTGTTGCAAAGTGCCGGACGCGCAGAAAAATATTATTTCTGAAACCGGCGCAGACGAGCGTGGGAAAAAAGCAGTAGCTAACGTTATATGCCAGCCTCCTACAGTTCTGCCGTAGTAGTCCAGCGCGTCGGCTATACACATTTCCATGTTGTAACATTTAAAAAAGACAACATCTAACATTATATTGCAAATGCAACCCCTCCATCAACGCAAAGTCATTGCCATATTACCAAATAACATGCATGGACACACACGTCGGATCTGAACAGTTGCGATACACAGTGTGGACATCATTTTAGATCAGATTCCAATTTGATACAAAAATAATCGGATTTGGACTGACAGTGTGAATGTAGCCATAGTTAACATTAACTGCGTCGACATTTTAGCCATAGTCAACGCTTCATTTACATGTGTCTGATGCTGTACCTCTCTCAACCACAAACGCCTTCTTTCATCAGTTTTTTGCACTCTTCTCTTTAACTTTTGACAGTCTATAGCACTCGACATGTTTTTTCCCGATGTGACCGATTGGTACAGACAAAAACTCGACCATTTTTCAGCAGCAATAATCAGCCAAATTTGCGAGTCCATTCAGTTCAGTGGCATTATTCACGTTCTGTGCCTCCAAAATGGCCGACTTCCGGATTGATGACGCGTCGTGAAACCCCTCTATAGTGTCTGGATGTGCTGACTGGATTGTGGCGCATTGCTATTATAACAATGGAAAAGAAACTGCTACTTAATTAGAAACTTAGCTTTGACAAACAGATATTTGCATACATGGGAATGGTTTTAACTGTTTTTAACTGTTTTTATTTTATAACCCGCTAAGGATGGCATTTTCTTAAATAGATTTTGTGCTCTTCTTTGTTATTTATCTTCTCTACAGTCTCCAGTTTCTATCAGTCCAGTCAGCCCAGTTCCTATCAGAGTGATTTTGGCAAGCTCAGTTATAGTGGGCCAAGCTTATAACCCAGAATATTTGGTTTCCTGTACAGTGTCGTCTATCTCTACTCAATGAGCAATGCTAAATTGCAACTGACTAAAGGCTTTTGCTGCTCTCCATTAAATAATCCAAGGAATCATCTACTGGTCATGAAGGAGATAACTCATAGAGTGACACTAGGGATGTTCATCCAGTGACCCTGACCCAACACATTTCTCTAAACTTAGTTGAAATCCCAAATCATTAGTAACCCTGAGAGCAGATCGAAGTCCGGAGCAAGTCCTTGAGGCCCTCAGACCTCATTCTGTCTGACCTTGTGTTTGGCTGGTTTGAGTGATAATTTTTCTGACAGGGTCAGTTCAGCTCCTGTCGCTACAGCAGCGTTGGCTTGAATGTAGCAGTAGTCATATATCAAATTTAGTCAGGTTCTCCAGAGGCCCATGTCTACTACTGTACTGCAAACAGGTTTTTGAATTCTCTAAGGGGCAGTTTATACGACACTGTTTTCAACTAAAAACGGAAAACTTTTCATGCGTTTTGGCCGAGCATTTACACGAGTCACGACAACTCCATTTTGGGGGCCTGAAAATGCAAACTTTTGAAAATAAGTTTCAAAATTGTAAACTACAAAAATACAAATTTGTGAAAAAGTTCAGTCTATAGACCTTATGTAGCCCCACCCCTTTTTATCACTGCAAGCGTTGTGTTCTGTCTTCCGGTTTGTATTTCCACAACATGAAAGATCGTATGGATTAATTAATGAACCGCTCGTTTTAAAATTGACCCGGTCTACTGACATTTGTTACGACATCTGTTTCAAACATTATAATGCTCTTGATAACTTTCGTTAACTCTACAACAAATCCACTTCACCAGCTAATTACTCTTTCACAGCGATGCTATAGAACTGTACAGAGCTACAGCAAAACGGAAGTTCAAACACGAAATTCTAAAGATAGCAGCGCGCTTGTTTCTCTGGCAATGGCACTACTGGGCTGGCAGCATAATACAGTGTTTTTAGTCGTTTTCACGGATCGTTGTGAATGGGGATTGTTTTGACAAATGATGTTTTATTAACAAAGTTAGGGAGGAGCACGTTCAGTTAATTAACACGAGTGGAGTGCACTCAGCAATCACTGATAAGAGGTATATATAGATTCAGCAATCTCACCTCACTCCATTGATAGTTTAGCAGCATCCCTCCACCGCCCCTTCTCCACACTTCCAGTCCTAAACACTTACATAGGGGGGAGTACTCTGGGTTCGGGCCAAACTCCGAGCTCGGAGCCCTCCCCCCGGACAGCACGCCAAATACGCATTAAACCTTATCCACTCTAATTGTATGTAAGTGTGAACTCGTGAACATTGTCGTCTGTACGTGAAAATCGCAAAGGAAAAAACGGTTCTGTTTTTAGCAAATCGTCGTTGTGTAAACGTACCCCAAATACCTGATTTCCAACTCCCACTTTTCTTAAGCAGGTTCCAGTGGGTGTTGAACGATTATGATGTTCTTTTTAAACCTATAACAGAGGAATTAACAGTAACAAACAATATAAGGATTTGTAATGAGAACAAAGATTTAAAGTAATGAAAGGTCATTCAAATTAAATAATGGCTTAACAAATTGTGTTACTTTTTAAGATATACACATTCAAAAGTTAGAGGTCAGTAACTTTTATTCATATATATATATATATATATATATATATATATATATATATATAATCAGGATCACAGTTTCCACAAATTTTTAAGCTGCATAACTGGTTTAAACATTGACAATAATAAGAAATGTTTCTTGAGCAGCAAATCAGCGTATTAGAATAATTTCTGAATGATCATGTGACACTGAAGACTGGAGTTAAAAATTCAGCTTTGCCATAAAATAAAAAAATAAAATGTAAAATACTTTTAAATAGAAAAGATGTATTTTAAATTTCAATAATATTTCTCAATATTATTGTTTTTAATATTAGTGATCAAATAAATGCAGCCTCGAGACTTTTAAAAAATATTAAAAATCTTACAGAGTCCGGCCCCAAACTTTTGCATGATAGATACCCTATTTGTTAAGCCATATATTTATATTTTTATCCCATCAGATTTTGCAGCCAAATTTATCACAGTAAATGATAAAAATATCAGATTCTATATTGTTTTAGATATGTGGAATGAATATATTATTTGTTGTACATTTATACATTTGTTATTTTAAGTAAACTATGCTGTTAACAACCACCAAAAACACAATTAGAACTGGTCAGAATTATTCTTGTCGCAAGTAAGAGTTCTGGCTCTACTAAGGAAACAGGAGTGTTACTTAGCCATTAATTTTATCACTGGATTTAAAGGTCTTCACTCGGTGCTCATTACTGTGAAGGATAAGTGGACTCTGTCTGGCCACAAGGTCTTGTTTACACCTCTCTTCTGCCTGGCTATGGAGGAATTGAGAGCAGCCTTGTCACCTCCACTCTCCCACAATCCTGTGTGACTATAATCCGTAGGAGACTCCTCTGCTGAGGGCAGAAATAGCAGTGGCCCCTTAGGTCCTGTGGTTATCACCTTACACCTTGCATCGGATGTAACCGGCCCTTTTGCTATATATTGCTCAATATCAGTGCTCTAAAGTTTCTCTGAAGAACTAGGCTTCTTTGAATCTACCTTTTTGTACATTCAGCATTTTAATTATTTATGTATTTATTGAGAGAGAGAGTATAACTCAGTTTTTTTTGTTTTTTTTTGTGCAAACCGAGAGGAATTTGTGGCAACATGTTTAAACCATTGAAACTGTAAGACAACTCAAGAGTGACCTATTTTGGGGTTTGGGGATTTGTTGTTTTTATTTTAACTGAGAAGACTGTCAAGTAAGTATCAATAATAGACAGTTTCCTTCTTAAAACCTGAATTAATTTGAATATAGATTTTAGCCTCTATTACAGGAATACTTTCTACTAATACTAAAGCATGAATGAAAGGTATCTAATGTAGGAGCCATTAAAAACTTTAATCCTTTGTGCATGTCCTCCCCTGATCTGTGCATGTGGTATAGCAGGGATTACACAGCCTGTTTACACCCATCCATAGGCCCCTCTTGCAAGTGGGCTTCCAGCACAGCGACACCCATAAATGACAGGTGAATGATTCCTGAAAGACATTATTGTCTTTTAACGGCATGAAGTTTATTCTCTTTTGAGCTGTCACCTCTGTTTATTTGAGTGTTATGTGAAAGCTTATGGGGAGCTCACAGTCTAGCAATGCTTTGGGGAAAATAGCTCTCACACATTACCATAAATGCTTCTGGTTTTGTGATATTGCAAAACATCTCTTATTTGCTCTTTTGTGGCTGTTATCTGCTTTTAACAGCGTCATGACTTTACTGCACTCTTCACTGACAAAAGACCGTTGGCTCGCAGAGCTGAGGGCCACACACAGAATTCAGAAAAGAGCTCTGGAAGTCGGCCAGGCAGCGTGTTGCTCTGCCAAAAGAATAAGTGCTCACAATATTATCAGTGTGAGATTGAGCCACTGGAGGAGGCATAACAGCATTAATGGATCATTGTTCTTCAGCTGTGGATGAAGAAAAGTCAATGAAACTCTCTATTCCAATAGACTGAAAATATGCGAAGTAATCTTCTAGTACAAAACATTGTTTGTTGCAGTGAAAATGCTCTTTAAAGCCCTCAGATGCTTGACCAGTTTACCAATATGCTATATGTACTTATCATACAGATATTTGGATTTTTTGTAATTTAATAACACTGTTAAATATAATCTTTAGCAAATCTCAAAATGAATATATTTTTTTGTATTCTGTTCATTCTGTTGTTGTGATGCTTGATCTTAAATTATTGATTTTAGTTATAAGTGTTTTTTTTTTTTGACAAAATAAATAGTATTGAAATTCAATATCTTCTAGTACAAGACATTTTTTTTTGCATTGAAAATGTTTTCAGCCCACAGAATGAGATACACGACCATTTTACCAATAAACTGTTTGTTGCATAGATATTTTGATAATACTTACTTATAATAATAATTTCTAGTTATTCATATTTTTATTTATTAACACTGTTAAATGTAGCAGATATCAAATTGAATAGATTTTTTGTATTCTATTCACTATAATGTCCAATTTCTTACGTTCCTAAGTGCCTATTTTCACTTTTAATTTCACTTGATTGTAGTTGTCTTGTTTTAATATATTTGGCAAGTATCAAATTACAGTGCCGGCCATTTATCGTTTATCTGCTATAACGTGAAAATATTTATTGACTTATTTTTGTCGGCCAGAAATTTAATATTGGTGCATCCCTAATAACTCAGGTTCAGGTGAGGGCACATTGATAAGCATGATTTATTGTTGGAAAAATAAGTTTTCTGATCAGTATCACTTCCTGACTTGACACTTTGCTTGCTGATTACATTTGTCTTATCCAACATGCACATAAAACCCTCATTAAACCCTAGTTTCCAGTGTGCTTTACCAGGTCAGTTAGTTTTTGAATGCTTGTTCCTGGCTGTCACCATGGCTCTCTTTCTCAGATAAATCTGATCGCAGGCCTGGCAGCTCTGCCCTGTTGCCAGCATTGTAGCTGAAATAATGGAGATCAGGGTAGTAGGGCATGCATGTGCCCTTGCTGTTTTCGACATTTTCCCCCAGTTAAATCCTTTTAGACTAAAGCAAGAACAACAGTTGCTACAGTGATTGCACAATAATTGATTTATTCACTGGCTAAGTGTTTGAATGCCTGTTATGCATCTTTAATAGGAGAACAATCAGCACAAAACATCCAGCCATCAATACAGAGAAAGAGAGAGAGAGCAAAGGAAATTATTTATGTAACCCTCAGACCTATTATTTGAGGGTACTTTTGGTTTAACAATAGAAAATACATCAATGCACCAATATAAAAATTCTGGCCAATCTTGATAAGGCTATAATTATTTCTGTGTAATGGTAAATGTTAAAATACTATACTACTTTGTTTTAGCATTTATAATGATTTATTTAGAGACTAAATAAATCATTGTACATTTTTATTGTAAATTAAAACCAATAGTCAATTTAGGCATCACAACATTATAAAGTCTAATATCAGCCAATAACGATATGGTCTTCTCATGTCCGTTACTTATTGCCTTTTTGTCTTTTCCCCAATAGTACCCTATCAGCAAAGCTCGTGCAACAGTGAACGGAGCTCTGGACCAATCCACTGCTTTCGCTGCCGGGAGGTGTGCAAAGGAGAGGTGGTACGAGTGCAACATGTCCACTTCCACATCAAATGCTTCACCTGCCAAGGTAAGAGTCAAGTCTTTGGCCGTAATGCATTGGTTACCTCTCAGAGCCATCTTTTAATTATGGGAAATGCTTGCATGTTGGCTTGGATTTGTTCCAGATATAGCCTACAGTTTCCAATAGATTCTATTCGGTAATAACACTTCATTAAGAACTAAAGCAGCGCTCTCTGCTTCTGACCTAATAGCAGTTTGGCATCAGTGGTTAGAAGCAGTGGATTTCTGATTTAATGATGCTGGCTGTGCTCCTGGGGCTGTCTGAAGTAGGGACCTGTTGGATAATGAGATCCTCTGGCCTCACGTCGTCAAGATCTTAGCTCAGTGATGCCCCATAGCGTTGCCCTCAATTATCAGTGACGTCAAGACATTAAAATATAAAACGAATATGAATGATGTGACCAGGAACTCTCACCTTTAGATTGTTAGATTCAAAATATGGAAGACCCTCGAGTGATGGACTCATTTCGGTTTAATGAGCTTTTATAAGGGCTACGTTTCCTTGCTTACACTCAAACCGGTGTTGCCACATGGTCCCTGCGTTGCATTTATGGGGTTGCTGTGGTAACCGTGTGGAGGGGCACCCTGCCCGTGGTTGGTGGTTATTCTCAGCTACACTATCAAACGAACAGCCAATAGCTGCCTCCCATAGCAAACCCTAGGGCATAGTTGGTAGGGAAGAGGGGGGCTCATATATGGAAAGACGGGGTGGGAGAGACCGAGTTGAAAGAGAATGGTAGCCTCCTTCCATCCCTCCATTATGACATCACGAGTTGCCTTGGAGCACATGAAGTTACTCAACAATAACAGTCCTTTTCCTTTTTGCTTTCTCCAACTTAAATTCGCCCGCTCTCCAAGGGCTGCTTATCTTCCATGAAAATTGCCTTGAGCAATAATGTATGTCACCTCTAATTCAACACCACACCTTATCTCATGATTTTGCGTTATATATTATTGTTGGCGTGAGTGTTAGCCGTGCACCATGAGTGTAGGAAGTCCAACTGCTGTTTCAACAGCTCATATCTCTCTCCAGCGTGGAACAATGCCTTGTCATTGTTGCAGAATGGCTTGTTTACAGTCCAGTGGCTAATGGTTCGGCTTCTGTGCATGCTGTGTTTTGTTTGGTTGGGAGAACGGAGTGTGCTGATGAGCCGTGGGGCTTTGAGGCCCAGTTAACTGGATAAAGGGGCAACATTTGTGGGGTATTTCACAGGACTCTCAGCTCACTCAGCATGTACTGTCACAGGTCAGCGGGGTCACATTGGAGTCGCAGTTGCCGGTGTTCATAAACAGGTGACAATCCGCTTTCATCCCTTTTGTTATGGCCAAAAACTAAACATGGATGATTAGTATGTCCATAATGTTTTATTTGTCTCCAGAGTCTGTGTTTTATTTAAAGAAAAAAAGAAAACGTCCCTGTGGCAACATTTCTGAAAAATAGCTTATTTTGTGACACTTTGAAAAGTGAAATGTACAGTAAGTGGTGCTAAAACATGTTCAGTTTTATCCGAAACAGATGAACATGCAACATTTTATTATGTTGGTTGTACGTATCGCTGCAGTTCAGAAATGAAATCTCTGGTGAGTTGCAATAAAAGTTTAATGGTCTGTCCCATTTGAAAATAAAGTACTGTACCACCTACTCTAAATGCATTGTATATGTGGTAAAATAGTTTTAAATGGTAAAAGTGTTTTGAGATCATAATATTCTATTGTGCAAGGAACCACCCAAAAATAATTATTTATTAATTGATAATCTGCCCCTGTAATCATAATTTGTGTGAATAGGAAGGAATAAATGTTGTTGGTGTTTTGCTGTCTCTTTAATACAGGTCATTTTTGGGGGTTTTGCAAAAATGTAGTTAGAGGCACGTTTTTCCAATGAGCCTATGTTGGTTTTATCCATCAGAGTTTCAGTTTAATTTCAAAATGCATGCTGTTGGAATCCATGACTGACTTGGTAATCGGTCTAAAATCAATAATTTGTAATGGAATTATTTGGTTTGGGCTACAATCAAGTAGATTACATTGGTTGGCTTTACTTGACGATATGCCTTTGCAAGCAGGATGAGATTAAGAAAAGGAGATACATTTGGAATTATAGTTAATTGAAACAGCAAGCACTCAAGCACACAGGAATAAACATGTGGGCCAAGGTCATGTAGATACAGCTGAAGCTGAGGCAGTGGAAACGTTTTCAGTGGGAGTTTACATAGGCTTTTGCCATGAGAAGAGGTGGATGCTGTAGTGTACACACAGGTACTGTATGACTCAACCAGCTGTTTTCAAGGATACACCAATGATCAGTTTGTGTAAAGGTGAGGCAGCCAGGCATATTACTGGTACTTACTTGCTGTGTATGAAACACATGTCCATAGACATAAAGGGCCATATTTTAACGATCTAAGCGCATGGTCTAAAGCGCAGGGCGCAAGACATGCACTTAAGGCGTGTCTGAATCCCCTTTTGCTAGTTTAACGATGGGAAAAATGGTCGCGCCCGGCACATGGTCTAAATTGCTATTTGCATGGCGGAATTTGCAAGCGGAAAGACTCGCGTCTCCAGAGGAGATACCCCTCGCTGCAGACTGTAGCGCGGTGACGTCACGTATTCACGCCACTTATGTCCGTCACGTATGTCCGTCGTTACCATGCATGCGCCCTACATTTTATCTTGTTCGAGAAGCTGTTTCACTCGGATATACATCGCAATAGAGAAGAAAAGATTATCGCAACTTCCGTTTCATGACGACTTCAAAAGGTATCTTCCTGTGTAGACATTAGGCAGCGAGCAAAGTCCCTTTCAAGGAAAGTCTGTTTACTTGGCGGCCATATTTGCAAAGCAGCTATTTCGGGCATCCAAGACCAAGTCCTGTCTATTTCAATGTGGGAATCCAAACTGCTTGCCGAACTCACAATTAAATAACATATTTCAAGTCAGCAAAAAAAATCTGACATGAACTGTCCCATAAATGCTCATGTGCAGCCCTAAGCGTGCGTCTCAGGTTTAGGACCATGCTTCTAACAGCAGCTGCAGTGACGCAATAACTTTACCAATCAGCGATTTGCTCTTTTATTTAAGTTGGGACGTATTCCACCATATTGCTCGTTGCAGTTTCTCCCATTTATAAGTAATAAGAGTGCACCATCTTTGTATATCTCTTTGCAGTGAGGCAGCTTTTGTAACAGATCTCTAAAGGTTTGTTCTTTTGCTTTATTTCATCCTTCCTCATTGTGTACACACATCCTTTCAAGCACACACACACACATATACATGCACATTCATGCATGCACACACATGTTCATGCAAAGGCAAATTTTGTTTGTTTCTGCATTACTATTGTGGGGTTCTTGCTAGATGTGCAGGCACTAAAAACTCATTAAATCTATATCTGGTTGTGCATTTATTTCCCCTATTCAAATAAAAGTCAGATTGGAGACTAACAGCGCTGTGCGGGGGATGGAAGTCACACACTTGTTCTGACCTCCTGACTCCTTTCTAGCTTTCTAGTTGGCTCTTCTCTCTCTCCTACATGAATGCAAACAGATAATGAACACAGCTGTGCAACTATTTATATCATAGAGACATTCAGTGGCCCCAAAATGTATTTGGACAGGACTTTGAAAAGTTTGAATGTCATTGCATTGCAGAACAAAAGTGGCAGGTCATTAAGCCTTTTTAAAAGCTGAGAGTTAATTGGCTGCGTAAGGGTACGCTCACATATCGCGTCTTTTGCGCGCTCAAGTTCGTTATTTCAAATGTAGGCGAGCGGTATGCGCGCTCATAATGGAAGCGACGCGGTCGCGGTGCGACGCGCTCGTTTTTTCCATGCGTGTCCGCGCCGCATCGAGATAAAAATATCTCAACTTTTCAGAATGCCGCAAGCGCACCATAAGCGCACAGTAGGCCACGTGACAAGAACCAACCGGAGCGCAACCGCCCTAGCGCTTTGGAAAAAGGGGAATGCGGCGCGCCCAGCGTTTTCTACACGTTTTTAGGCGCTATATGTGAATCCGGCCTAAGAAGGCATATGCAGATTCTGTTACGTTTCCTATGCATTCCTATAATGATAAGCCAGTCTGAAAAAACTAAAAATTCTTGAACTCTCCCAAGAGTCACACAAACAAACAAATGGACAAATAAATGTCAGTGTCAGGTGTGGGGGTGGTGAAAGGAGCGAGGGGTGATGGGCTTTTATTTAATTAAAAAAAAAACACAAAGTACCCTGAGGGGGAAACAAGAGACTAGACTAGACTAGACTAGACTAGACTCAAGAGGTTACATTAAACAACGATCCAGCACAGGACTGAAAACACAGGTGGGGCAAATTAACTAATAATCAGGTAACAAGATGGGAGGGGCTATACAATGACAGGAGAGCACATGGCACAAGGAAACACATGACAATCCACCAAACTTGACAAACACATGAGCACATGGCCAGTAAACAGAATCACCAGCCATGTGCCCCAACAAAACAAGACATGAACATGCAGTTAATGAGAACACTCATAAGCCACGTGTTCACACAAAACATGACAACATGAAAGCATGCTGCCAGTGATAAACACAAGCTGCATGCAACACAGCACAAGACAAAACATGACATGAAAGCATATGAAACAAGGCACAGGCAAGACAAAACAGGAGTGTCAGGGCTCTGTCACAAAACCAAGAAATAGACTAGACAGAAGTGACAGAACCCAGACAGCAGATGCTCTAAACATCAAATTGCTGTAGTTGTGTACTGTAAAGCAGCTGTGATGGGGTTGATAAAAGGGTCAGTTACAATATGTGTTGTGTGGAGCCCCTCTCTTCCTGAGTTGTCAGCCGCTGGAGGAGGAAGACTGAGCAGGATGGGAGCTTCACGTAACTATGGCAACGTATGCCCGTCCAATCATTAAGCCCATGCGATAGTTGCTGGGGAGACATTCTCCTACAGATGGAAGGACAGTGGCAGTATTAGAGACTGAATTCCCTATGTTGTTCCTGGAGATCAAGAGAAGG